ACAGAGAGAGATATCAAAAACAAAATTAAACTAGAAATTTAGAGGCTAGGAGAGCAGCATTAATCAAACAAAAGAAGAAAAAGAAAAAAAAAAATCAATCAAGAGGAAGAAACTCACTGATTTCGGCCTTCAAACTTAATCGATTGAATTCTAGTTAATGTTATAGGTTCATTTTGTCAAAAACAAACGTATAACATTAACTACAATTCCAGAATTATTGGAACTCCAGACAGGTGAAAAACTCGAAAAACCCTAGATGTGAAATTGAAGACGGCCTGGTGAACTTTGAAAGAAAATAATCACGGATTTGTGAGAGGAGGACGAGGAGACTGTATGGTGAAGATTTGGGGTCATTTGGATGAACTTGTGTTTTGAGACCCGATTTTCAAACACATATTCGAAGCTTTTGGGTTTGATTCGAGGGAATACGGTCGTGGATTAGTGATGAGGGAAGAGGAGAGGGAGCTGTGGTGTTATTTTGGCCGGGTTTGGGATAAGTAGTGATTTGACCGGAATTTTCGAATTAATATTCGGGAAGATGGGTTGCGATTCGAGGGGGATGGTTATGGGGGTTGGAAAGAGGAGGGGAAGATGAATTTGTGGTGAAATTTTGAGGCCATTTGGAGCTTCGCCGCCGGCGGAGGCGATTTCCGGCCAGCGGCGGACGGCGGAGGCACGACGGAGAAGGGTGGTGTTACGGTGGACGGCGGTGGTATTACAGGGGTAAGGTTTGAGAGACGGTGAGGGTGGGGGTTCTGAGGGGGGGGTGGTTATATTCAGACATTTTATATATTTAATGTCGTAGGCTTCAGGACCGTCCGATCAAGGAACCTCGACGGTCCTGATCTAACGCCAATGAAACGGCGTCGTTTCGTATATGGGGGTCTGGACCGGGTTAGTGGGCATTTGGGCTTGGACTGGGGACCGGATTTGGGGGTTTTGGGCATTTGGGCTGGGATTAAAGAGTAGCCCAAAGCTGGCAGCCTATTTAACCTCTTATTCTAATTTCTTTTTCATTTGTTTTCTTCTTTTCCTTTTATTTTTTTTGCTTTTTTATTTATTTATTAATTTCATTTTCATTTTGTATTTTTGATTTTTTATCAAAATGCAAAATATTAAAAGTAAATCCCTAAATTATATTTTCAAAGTTAAACTAATTAATTCCTGAAATTGTTTAAAAATCTCCCTTAATTTCGTGAAAAATTCACAATTAACAATTAAAAATACAAAAATGGACTATTTTTGTTATTTTCTTCATATTTTGTTCTAAAAATAACTTAACCACTAATTAATCATAAAATATGAAATTAGATCCTAAACGCAAATGCCAAGTATTTATTTTTTTTTTTTTTATATTAAAATTCAAATGCAAACAATCAACAGAAACTAACACAAAATTCACAAAAATGAAAGAAATCATTTTGTTTGGAATCTTTGGAAATAATTCATATAGGGCAAAAATCACATGCTCACAATTACAAATTAGTTCAACTGCAAATAATTGCATTTCCCCCTATTCTTTTGGTTGTCAGTGCACCTAACATGGCTAGTGATCTTTTTTCCCCATCATCGTCCAGTTAAAATAAGTCAGGGTATAAAAGAAAGAAAAGGAAAATTAAGTTTACATATGAAAAAGCCTAATTAATTCATTACAAAAAAGAAAATAATTTTGAACTCTATTTTGAAGAGTGCATGTACAAATTACACTTAGGAAGATGTACAAGGGACAAACTTGACAGCAGTCTACGTTACAAAATTGAAGTGAGGCTGACTTAGTCATCTCTCTCAACCAATAGTCTCGGATTCTTATAAGTTCTACGCGGCGCAAATCCAGATTAGTCACACCAGTGAATTCCAGATACCGAACGATTATACCCCAAAAAAAAAAAAAAAAATCACTAAACCTATGGGATGGAAAATCATAGATGAATTACAATTCTTTCAAGTCTAGGATGACTTGAGTAAAGAAATGAGACTAATGAAGTAATCTTCACTGCATGGAATAGTAATACCTCCCATGGGATGATTGTATCCAAACTCTTCTTCAGCCCAATGTAACAAATCTTGAAATAAAGGATGATTTAAGTAAGATATTGGAACAACAAATCTCCTATATGTTTCACCAACATAAACTGCAAAATGACCCTTTGGAACATCATTTGTAGTAGTTGAAATGCTTCCATTTTTGAGTGAAATTGTTCGTCTAAGCTTCTCTTTGGCATTAGCTATTCCAACTAATCCTCTTCCCATATTTAAACACAAAGAATTTGTAAGATTTAGAACTAAATTGAAGCTTTAAAGTGTATTGAAAATGAAACTGACTTGCGTTTGAAATGGAAGATGGAGAACTAGACTATATATACAGACACTTCAATCCTCAAATTGGTAATAAAGAAGATTAATGTGTGAAGTTGGCAAACATATCAGGTGAAGAAATTGGCAAAAGATCACATGGTTTTGCCTAATCTATTTCAGGACATTATGTCCTACCACTTTAGGGGTACAAAAATAATAAGCATATTGCACTATTTAAAAATGTGATATGCTAATAAAGGTATATTTTTACTTCAACTTTTTAACTTTTAAATGAGATGAGCATATAATTTTAGTATGGTGTCAGAGCAGACTAACATTCTGTATTCTGAATTTCACTATCACCTATTATAGAAGAATTTAATCAAATTTGACTCATAAAAAAATCGCACGTACCGGAAACAAAAGTATATTCTATCAAAACTTAAACTTATCGATGAAATGATCATGCACTTCAATAGTATTTTTATCACTCCCTCCGTTCACATTTACTCGTCACATTTCGTTTTTCGAGAGTCAATTTGACTAATTTTTAAAGCTGAATAGCTTTAGATTTTCTTAATTTTCTTAGTACGGTTGTATATCACTTTATTGATATCGAAAGATGTTTCTCCATTATGTGAGGATAGCAAGTAGCTCTTTTTCCTATTACAGAGGCATTGAATCTAGACTTGGCTTTGTTTAATAATATGAACTTTGCCAATTTACCAGCAAAAGTTAGTGGGGTCATTTGGATGATTAATTCTTGAAACCAGTGCCTCAGAACATTTTTCTCTAATTAAAGTCCGGTTTGTTTATCAAGAAATTTGCTTGGTTGCTATGTTCAAGACTTGAGTATTTAAATTTGTTGTGAAGTAAATCCATCAATGGCTAAATATTTTTTTCTTGGATCAAGAATTGAATTAAACTCGTGAAACATTTTTGTTTCAAAACTGTGTTTGTCATTTTTGGTTGTTAAACAGAATTTAAGCTTATTATTTGTGAAATCCTGTTGATACATAACATAAAAATCAGAGCTTTTACTTGTGTATCAACTCTAAATTTTTGAAGAATAGTTTTCATAAATGAGTTGCTTAATTTTCATGTACAAATATAAATTATTTATTTATTTTTTCAGCTCAATAAATGCTCAAGTTAGTGATGTTTGATGCACTTGGGACGTAGCCTTTGTTTCCTCTTCATTTCCATTTACTATATAGTTATATCACTATCATCAGCCATTTATGGCAAAACGTGTTATTAAAAGTCAAATCATTATCTATATTTGTTAAGTCAATTCAAATTATGTTGACAATTCTTGATACTAGTTGTTGCCTCATTTTGTAGGTTTTTTATTTGATTTGTGTCTGCAGACTGCAAAACTAATTGTCAACATTGAGCAGTAGCTCAGTGCAAAGTTATCATTTATTAACTGTTTTATAATTCCATTAATGGAACTTCAACAACTTTGATTAGAAATAAATATGACTTGCCTAGTGAAAAATCACCATTAATAGTATCTTTTTGAATTGGGATTGCAATATAATGTACTGTATTTTTGCACCATTAATGGCCAAGCCAAAATAGTGCTTGACTCTGAATTCACTGACTCTGGATCTTGAATTTGCTTATGCGCAATGACATATATATCCGTTCCATCAGTGTGAAATATAATGTACAAAATTTAAAGAGATGTCTTCATAGGTACTAGGTTTGTTAAATCATTAAACTTCTTAACATATCTTATCATGTTTAGACATCACTAAATGTCTATAATCACATCCGTTAATCAAGATCGGACCCAATTATCGTATCACTTATCCAATCCGAGTGAAGGGGAGCTTTGGTGTAACTGGTAAAGTTGCTGCCATGTGCCTTGTCACGGGTTCGAGCCATGGAAACAGCCTCTTGCAGAAATGTAGGGTAAGTCTACGTACAATATACCCTTGTGGTCCGGCCCTTCTCCGGACCACCCCGCGCATAGCGGAAGCTTAGTGCACCGGACTTCTACCGTTATCCGATCCTAGTTGTCATTGATCATTCGACAAGAGACCTCATCCATTCATAGTGCAATTTAGTCAAAAGGGGGTCCTTTGCTTTTGGTTGTGACTTATGAGAAGTAGTAGGACCTGCTGTTTTTATTCAACAAGTATATGGTCTATGTACTTTGATACTTAATGAATTGGATATAAAGCAAATCCATGTGATGTTTCATGTGGTGTTGTCTCTCACCAGCTCCCACTGAATTCCTCCTCAGCAGTAAACATTTGGATATGCATTAGGAATTAACACTTGCCTATATATACTCATGCACAGGAAGAGTTTCCCTGTACATACTTTATGCACAAGAAAGTCTCTAATATTTCAAAAACTTCCCTATTGTTAAGCAAAATTTCATAACTCTTGGTTCTTTAATTCGAGACATTGTTTATATGACTTGTTAAGTCAAGTTGAAGAAGAGTTTTGTTCTGATCATCCAATGGGTGGTGTCACAATTCCCTGCAGTGAGGATGTTTTCATGAATCTGATTTCGCGCTTAAGCAGAACGGATTAGCATAATTTTTCATCATCAATTTTGTATTAAGAAAGTTTTGATTTCACTCAGTATTTTATTTATTATTGGCACTGTTGAGGAGCTAGCTAGGAACAGTTATTTCCCATTGGGGTTGAACACCTTTAAGGCCACAGTATATAGAAAAATGTATAGCAGGATTTAGGTGTACATTATTTCTTCATGTTAAACCTTGAGGACTAATTCCTTTTTTTTTTTCTTTTTCATGTTAGCATATTCAGTTCAGAACAAAAATCATTAACTGACACTTCGAAAAGTTCAGAGGATTCTTGACTAATTAAAACTTAATGACTGCTTCTTGCTACATCAGACTCAAGTTCCAATTGAAGTCCTGCAATGGACCTGTTGCTAGCAGGGGCATACGCAGAATATTTTATAAGCGATGTCGATATTTAAAGAAGTGAATAAATGAATGATCATTATATTAAAAATATTGCAGAGGAGGATGAATAGTTAAATTATTATTTCAAGTATGATGAAATAATTCTTTTCCGGAATGAACAACGCACTTCAGAATTTATTGTTTACCTTTGGCTTACATAAACTTTAAAGCATGCATTCTACATAGAATTGAGTATCGATCCCTTAACCTCTCCTAAATGAAAGAAGCGCTTAACTAGTGAACTAAGCATGGATATTTGTTCAGTAACGTTATTTTAGAATATATATTCGAATAAGATATTCTTGCATGTAATTTATATGTATATTTAATGAAATTTTCCGGCGAAGCGGTGTCGGATGACACCGCTTCACACTAGGTAGATCCGCCCCTGGTTGCTAGGTGTTATCTGACAGTTACAATATATATATATATATATATATATATATATATATATATATATATATATATATCAAGATAGTGATGAACTTTATGCTAAATAAATTAAACTGAATCAATTAGGCGGAAAACTGGAAAGAATGCAACATTTGGTCTTAGGTTTCTAGGCCATACAAGCCATAATGCTGGCTTTCCATAAATACTTAAAATGTTAAGTTTGGTACAAGAATTTAAGTCAAATCATAATTCGATTATATAGTCTCTCTTGACAAACTTAAGCCAGCATATTATTCTTGTGGATTAGTAGCAGTGCATTATCATAAATGCACACCAGATTAGAGATAAGTTTCTATATTCTTTTCTTGCTTGTTTCCTACAAGATTCATGCTGAGGTCCATCCATGCTCAGCTATGGCACAGCACAAGCATACTACTGGTTGGTTTTGCTCTTCTTTGACTACAACATTGCAGGGCCTACGACTTACACTACATTAAATAAGGTTTTCAGTGACGATATTCTGTGGTGACCTACTTAGTCGCCAGCCGTAATTGCGTATATGACATGATTGAGTAGCGAGCTACCTTGAATCGACTTTTTTGGCGCATTTACTTAGTTTCTGTGGCGAGCTTAGTCTCCACAACATAAAATTCGGATAGGTCGTTACTCAAAACAGCTCATGACATACAGTTCGCCACTGAAACTATCACTTGTTGTGACGATATGACACTTTACTTTTGGTGGTGACCAAAGACTCAAAACAACGACATATTGTTCGCCGCTGAAACTATCACTTATTATGGTAACTCGACACTTGTGGAAGCGACTAAAAAGGTTGCCACAGAACGTCGTCGTTGAAAACCTTGTTTCGTGTAGTGCATGTTTCTTATCGGTAAATGAATGATCTGTAGAAATATTCTAGTTTTATCCAATTCTCTATTATTCCAAATAGAAATAGTCTAGCTTTATCCAATTCTCTATTATTACCAATAATAATCACCCTAAATTTAACCGTTTTATAAAAACTCAACTGCAGCACTAGTTGGAAGCATAAGACTAGCTAGTTTTGGTCATACGAACCAACTTGTATCTTGACTTGTCGCTTTAGCACTATATGTGATCAGATTTTGTCTAAATTTATCAGGATATATATGCCATCCTAGATTCGAAATTTCATGAATGATGATCAGCTGACTACAACTTGTTGAATGATCCATGTGGTCCCTAACTAAACCATTTTCAAGAAGATGATGTTTCATGGATCTGTCCTTTGTTGTGAAAATCAGTCAGGCCTTCTGCTTTTAGACATAATTACATTGTCTAAATAGTTTGATAATTAGTTGGAAAGCATAACCATGTGTTAGTTCATGTGCTATTGTCTCTAAACAGTGCCACACCAAAACTCAACTACCCAATAGTTATCTTTAACCTATAGAAAATGTATATTCAATGCAAATCACTAGGATTCAACATCTTGTCATTGGCCTATATAAACACATACAAAGAATCCTCTACCACCAACAACTCTCAGCAAAACTTGAAATTATACAAAGCTTTTCTCTGCTTTCAAGATTCTTACTAATTATTATCTTCCCTATTTTCTCATCTACCATATTGAACTAAACGACTATGGCTATCCGTATGCCTCGTATAATCAAGAAGTCTCCTACAGTTGGAGATGTTCCAAAAGGCCATTTTGCTGTTTATGTTGGGGAGAAGCAGAAGAAGAGATTTGTAATCCCCATATCGTTCTTGAGCCAACCTTTATTTCAAGACTTGCTTAGTCAAGCTGAGGAAGAATTTGGTTTCGATCATCTAATGGGTGG